CATATGGAAATGTACTTTTTCATAAGGGGGCATTTCAAATCATTGGGGAAATGATGGACTTTTTACTAAATGATACTAGATCAACTAGATAGTGATTTGCTAAGACGTTAAGTTGGAGTCACATTTCACACAAACCACCAGCATAAATTCCAAACAAATAAGAGATTCAAATATAAAAAATAATATCATGCATGTACTAGAAATAAACATGGGTAAATCCCTTTATAAACTTAGGAAGGGGAAAGCCTTCTTAGCAATGACTCTAAATCCAGAAACATTAAAAGAAATGATTGATAAATAAACTTCAATATATAAATAAAAACTTTTCTAATTTATCTGTCCAAAAGCACTGTAAGCAAATTCAAAATACAGATAGCAGACTTGGAAAAAAGACTATTGCAACATATACCACAATTAAAGAGCTAATCTAGCTAATGTATAAAGAACTCTTAATATTCAGAAGAGAAAGATCCAGAACCTGATAGAAGAATGGGCAAAAGGCAAGATAATTCACAGTAAAATATAATTAAAACATAATGAAGAATCTCAGCTCACTCAGATTAAGAGAAATGGAAATAAAATATGGAAAAAAAATGGAAATAAAAGTTCTACCAAAACACTCTATTTCATCTCATAAGTGGCCACAAATTGTAAAATTAGAGAGTACACTCCATGGGCAAGGCTGTTTTCTTTGGATTGTTGTTGCAGGATATGTTTTTATTTTTTCTTCCATCATTTTACTCTCATCCTATCCACGTCTTTATATTTGAATGTCTCCTGTACACAGCACAAAATTGGTCTTGCATTTTTTATCCAGACTGAGAATCTCTGCCCTTTAGTTGGAATGTTTAATCTGCTTACATTTAATGCAACCACTGATAGGGTTAGTTTGAAGAATATCATATTGCTATTTGATTTCTACTTGTGTGATTGATTTTTTATTCCTTTCTCCTTCTTTTACAGGCTTCTTTTGTGGTATCTGATTTTGTGTTCTTTACCTGCTTCTGCTTAGATCTGTGTATAATATTTTAGTGGTTACACTGGGATTACAATATGGCTCCTTCACATATCACAGACTACTTTGAATTAACGTTATACCACTTCATATAAGAACACTGGAGTAATGTATTTCCATGTATCCTCCCTCCCACCCTTTGAGTTATTTTTGTCATCCATTTGGCTACTATATTCCATAAATCCTAAAGCATTTTTGCCTTAATAGTCATCCATCTTTGAAAGAAATTTATGTAAAGTCTTTTATATTTGATCACATCTTACACATTTATTCTGCTTTTGTGCTTCGTGCCTACAATGGGGATCATTTCCCTTCAGGCTGAGGAACTGCTTTTAGTTTTTCTCGTGGTGCAGGGCCGATGGCAACAAATTCTCGTACATTTGTTTTTCTGAAAATGTCTTTACTTTGCCTTCATTTTTAAATAATATATTCACTGAAGATAGAACTCAGATATAGGTTGCCTATTCCTTTCAACTATTTAGAAATGTTATCCCAGTGTCTTCTGACTTCCGTCATTTCTGATGAGAGCTCATTGTTACTCTTAGTCGTGTTTCTCCTAAAGTAACGTATATTTGCTTTCCTGTCTGTCAACTTTCAGCCTTTTCTCCTTATCTTAATTTTTTCTTTTTTTTTCCTGAAGAGAATTAGTCCTGAGCCAACATCTGTGCCTCTCCTCTTCCATTTTTTATATTTGGGACACCTGCCATAGCACAGCTTCATAAGCAGTGTGTAGGTCCGTGCAGGGATCCAAACCCACGAACGCTGCCCCACCAAAACAGAGTGCATGAACTCAACTGCTGCATCAGTGGGCGGGCCCCTATCTTTGGTTTTGCCAGTTTGACTCTTATATGCTTAGACGTGGATTCCTTTGCCCTCCCCGAGGTTCACTGAGCTTCCAGAATCTGTGGATGAGGAATGCAGTCTAGGAATACGCCTATGACGAAAAGAAACCAGTGGCTGCAATTCTTTTATGGTGAAACGTGTTTGTTGGACAAAAGCAGTGTTGTGTGGGATAGCAAGACAGGAAATCAACCCTGTGAGATCTGTAACTCCACAAGGGGGAACCGGCAGAAGTACGATGGTGGGCAGGAAGGCAGAACCATCCTGAGACATGTTTCCAAAGGAATTAGCAAGATCTCACTTTCCTTTGGGCCTCTCTCCCCCAGGAGCTGGCTTGGCGGTTCTCTCCCTGCCAACCTGGGACCCAGCTCTTCTGGTGGGTCTGGAGGGAAGGAGGGGAGATGGGAGTGGGTTTGGGTGAGTAGAGGCATTTCCTTGAGGTCATTCCAGAGATCTTTTACTGATTTATATTTAAATTTTCATTACAGAGGTACTTGAGGAACAGAAGGATTGTTTCCTCAAAGACAGGGGTGGGGCAGGGGACACTTCCACAGACAAAGGAGATTTGAAGGAATCAGCATGATTAGGGTGCTCACCCACCTCCATCCAAATGTGCCCCTGAGCAGACTTCAGCTCACCATGCGAGGTGCTGGAATCCTTGTCACAGAATGCCTGCACAGCAGCCCAGAGGTTTCCTCTCCAGGGAGGTGTGTGAGCAGAAGCTCAGCTCTTGTTCAGGGATGCCAGGAAGTCATCACGGGGCGGGGGTTAGACAACATGTCAGGGCTCTTGCTGGCCTGGCTGTCAGGGCTCCTGGGCTGAGTCCAGGCTCTGTTCTAACTCTGTGGTCCCTTCAGTTGGCCACTAACCCCTCCTGGGACTGTGTCCCTCCCTCATCTCTCACAGGAGGAAGACTTGCAGCAGGGTCCTCAAACTTGTATCCAAACCACAGGACCATTTCCTCAAGTAAATGTGATATCTAAACTCAATATGCATGTAGCAGGACTACTTTTTTAAACATTATTTTTGTTTTGCTTTTGGCATTTTCCTTTTTGTTTAATTCCATCAAGGAGTCAGGTTCTTAGTATGTCTTAGAAGCAGGGATATCTTTTTGGCTCCAAAGCAGAAACTGCGTGTGCTCACTGCTCTGCCCTTTTGAACGTGCCCGCAGTCATGAAGAGATGGTGTTGCTGCCTCCTTTGCGCACAACAATGTTGGAAAGGCCGTGCCTGTGAGGGTTACAGGATCCCAGAGTACGTACCCCTTGTGGTGAGAGGGTAGTGCTGTGTGGGTTTGGAGCAGGAGCTCAGAGCTGGAACGTATGCTCAGCTCCCAGGTCGTGCCCCATATGAGCAGCAAGCCCTTGGAGAGATGGCTGCTGGGAGTGTTTCCTGAGGTGAGCTCAACACAGGGAGATCCCCATTCAGAAAAGGATCCCGTACTCTGTGTGGGCACCAAGCCAAAAACCTAAAGTTGAAAAATCTGGGTGGTCTGGAACCTATTGATGCAGCAGTAACCACAGTGGCCCTAAGAGGAGAGGCCTTTCTCCAGTTTTCCAGACCATGTGAACCGCCTTGATTCTGGTTGGATTCTGTGCAGGCAGGAGGTACAGTAACCACAGGGATCAGCTTTCCTGCCAGTCCAATTGGATGGGTGTTTAGAGTCTAACTCTAGTTGCCTGCAAGCAAATATGTAATACAATTTTTCCTACCATCTGAACCTTTACAATGACATTCCTACCTCCCACTTTTGAGGCTAATGAAGGTAAGGCTGCCCTCACTGCCCTTCTCCCTCCCTACGGGCTGCCCTCTCTTCTAGGTGAAGACGATGCTCCAGTGGACAGAGTGTGGTGACTTCACCCCTAGAAACTAAATGACTGCTGTCATTTCCAAATCCCATGCCTGCTGTCCTAGAGTCACATGTCCTCAAGCTCAATCGGACTGTGACCAGCAATAGAAACAGAAGGCAAGTACTTTATTCCTTTGGATTTCCCATGAGATCTAGGCCATGTGGCCTCGTGTGAGGAGGGAGCGAGGTACATGATTTGGGTGAAACTCCCACTGTCAGTGTCACCCGGGTTCAGATGACAGAGTCTGTATTAGGTCCACTGTGGATCCCCAGTGCCGAGCCCTTAGGAGCTCAATCAGGGTGTGTTTGTTTATTGATGGAAAAATTGTGCTTTCCAGTCCTACTGCAGAGAGGGTAGGGCTAACTCAAAAGGCTGAGACAGACTAAGTGGCCAGTGAGGGGTCTTAGCCTAGAGGCCTGCAGTGAATAAGAGGGACAGGCTGAAAGGGACTCTGGCTATCAAGTGACCAGATTGCCAATGCACGCTGAGCATGTGGAGGGACAATGGGCTGGATGAGAGGAGTTGAGCTGGCCTTGCCAGGTGAGAGGTGGAGCAGGGGCTCTGGAGAGACAGCCTCCCTTCTGTGTCCTCCATGTGTCCGCCTATTGCCAGCACAATCCTAGTCCTTTGTAGTCCTCTAGGACAGGGCATGAGCTGGGCTGGCATCTCAGGGGAGAGTCCCTGCTGCTATCATACAGGGCTGTGGGTGTCTTAGGCAGGAGGGCTAGAAGGAAGGGGCCAACTCAGATCAGGCTTGTGTGGAGGGGACAGGAGCTGGTGGACTCTGAGAACTCTCAGTGGAAAGCAGGGATGGAGAAGAAGGGGCAGCCAGGAGACTGGAGGGCAAGCTGGGCCCCAAGTTCACCAGAGGGCAGGGAGGAAACTCAGGCTGGGTGAGATCGAGGAGCTTCTCCAGAGACCCACCCTGACTCCGCGCCAGCTCCCTGGCTGTGGGACAGAAATGTCCTGCTTAGGCAGCCTCTCCCTTCCCTAGTTTGGGGGCTATGCCATTGAGCTGCCGCCCCAGGCTTGCCTGCTTGTTGTCCCAGACCCATGGTGTCATCCCCCTTCCTCTCTGCCGTCTAACACAGGGAAGGAGGTAAGAAGTTCACCCTGAGCCCCAGGACCAGAGAGGTTCATGTTTTCTCCTGATGGTGCTCAGCTGCAGTCCTGGCAGAAGGGCAGGCCCAGAGAAAGGTGTGGGTCAGAAGGAGCTGGGGAACAGCTTTGCTTGAGGTTTGGGGGAGGTGGTGGTGAGAAGGGGAAGAGGAGGAAGCAGAAAACAGCAGATTTGTGTCATTGGCCTTCTAAGCACAGAGTTAGTGCCTGTGAATGAGGGTCATTCTGCATCAGCTCCAGAGAAGGTGGGCTGGTTCCTACAGTTAGAGGCTTTTCATAGGATTTCATGGTTTCCTTCATCCAGGGCAGGAAACTCGAGACTTTGGTGAAGACCCATGGAGGTATCACGTCATTTAGACCACCACGGGAAATGCCCTGGATCACATTGTTATACACAAGAGGGCCCCCGGAGTGCCCCTATGGACAGAGTGGGGAGGACTGAGTCTGTGCTTCCCCTGACATCTCAAGCGCTATCTCAGTGAAGGCCCCCTGGCCTGGCCTCCATGTGGGAGATCAGAGAGCAGGGCAGGCCCCTGTGGGCCCCTCAGCTGCCCAGTCCTGGCCCTGGACATTGTCACAGCTTCATTTCACTCAAGGGGGGCTCCCTCTCCTCCCCCAGGTCCCAGGTCCTCTCCCCATGAGGGCGCTGTGGGACTGTGCTTTGTCTACTGTTTAAGGACATGGAAACATGCAGGTGAGGATGACACTCAGGATGGAGGGTGAGCCATTTAACCAAGATAGGAGCCAGCTCTGAGGAGCCACCTGGTTTGACTGCTGCACACCCAGGGAGTGGTTTTCTAACACCTTTGCCCAGCGTGGGGCAGAGTGTTGAAAATTCATCTTCTGAATGGAGCACCATGTTTGGATGCATCTCAGGCGCCTAGTAGGCTCCCAGATGCCCTGTGACTCCCCACTCTGGTTGCGCCCCGCTTCTCTTACCGGGAGAAAGATCAGAGTCTAGGGGGTGAAGGAGTCCCTACTGCCTGGGTCTCCAGGTCCCGAAACACCCCTCTCCCCAAAGCTGACCTAGGCAGATGCCCAGTCTCACCTTAAAGGAAGACTTCCTTTTATTCGGGTCCCCCCCGCACAGCAGAGTGGTACTGTTGTAATGATCATATAAGCAGGCTTCCCAAACCTGCTCCTGCTGCACAGTCAGCTCCACTACCCGGAGTGTGTTGGAAACTCTGCCATTTGGGGCAACTTTCCCCCAGCTGGCCACATTGCACACCTCTCCAGGCCTCACTTGCGCTGTGCCCCTGGGCAGGCTGAGGGTCCTCACAGCTGCAGTCTGCCTGGCCTTTCTCTCCAGCTGATGAGAAGAGGCAAGAAAGTCCAGCTCAGCCACTGGCCTCCTGGGCCTGGACACTGCGTTGGGGCTGCACTGACTTCCCTCTCCCCTGAGCCACTGGGACTCGTCAGGAGGCCAGGATGGGAAGGATGGGAAGGACAAGTCACAGTGGGAGGGGAAGAAATCTGGACCCAGGACAGCAAGAGCAGCAGGGAAGTTCCCTTACCTTGAGTATCATGATGTCGTTGAAATAGTCTTTAGGGATATAGTCAGGGTGGCAGATGGTTTCTTTCACAGGGATGACCTGCCAGGTCCTCTCTTGAATCAGGATGTCGTGGGCCCCCAGAATCACCCTGACTGAGCTGCAGAGAAAGGAGATTGGGGATGTGGGGGCAATCGGTCACAGGAGATCCAGCCCTGGAGCCATGATGGGAGGGTGACAGCTGGCGCAGGGCAAGGCTACAGCTAGGGGAAATCGAGACAACACAAAGGCCTGGTTCTGAGTGACTGTGTGTCCTGTGCTTCTCAAGGACACTGAGAGGAGGGCTTCTGGAAGTTTTCTCTTGCCCTCAGGCAGTATTGTGAAAGGATTCTGAGTTTGCCTTTTGACCAGAATGCATGCTTTCATCCTCCACAGCTGCTTTAGTTGGCCAGTGTGGTCTCTCTTCTCAACTGAGCCACTTGCTCTCGCCTCTGACCCTCGGACTGCAAAGCTTCCCTGTCCTGTTTCTCTCTTTCCATGGCCCAGACACACTCTCAGATGGCTCCTCTCAAGAGCTTTTCTGGCACTGAGTTACCAGAAGCTGAGGGAGATCCCCTCAGCTGCTGTCCATGGGCAGAGGACAGGGGTCCCTGTTGGGGACTCAGGAGGTGTCAGCTGTCTGCGGCCCCTCAGCTTCCCCAGCAGTGAGCAGCCATCATAACATTGTCCAATTTCATGAGGACACTGCCACACCTCTTGGGCTTCCGCTTCATAGGAACCAGAATAAACACCATGTAGGGGCGGGAGTGGGGCCTGACCTCATGCCCTCCTATGACGATTCCTGAAAAGAAAAACTGGAAGATGGGCTTCCTGTAAGCAGCTGTGGTAAGGAAGGAAGGCTCCGGAAGGTGACGATTGGGGGTAGGGTCTAGAGTGCCCTGCAGAAACCAGGCGAGAGTCCTCCCAGGTTCTCCCTGGAGCAGAATAACCTTTTCCGAATGTGGAGCCTCCAAACCCTCTATGAGACAGCGGAGGATGGTGCTTCTTGTCCCTGTCCTGCTTCAACCACGTATGGGAGGGATGAGAGCTGTCTTCAGAATGGTGACGCCCCAGGGGATTGTGGACAGGGCTCTGCTGGCGTCTTTTGTGTCAGGGAGTCTCCCAACCCTTCTGAGCCTTTGCTAAGGTCCTGACTGGTGCCCGTATCTAACAAACTGTCCATGAGCTTATGAAGTTGGATTTTCTACAATCCTCATGTCCTGTGGGCTAACCTGTCCTGGGATCTCAGTAAACATTTTTTGACTGTGTGAATGAATGGCCTTCACTTAGCTTTCTGCTGAGGTTTGGTGGGGATTGTGCTTGTGGGATTGAAGGCCATCATCATGTAGGGAGGGCCCTGTGTGGAGCAGCCTATGCCTTGGGAAGGCAGGGAGAAGTGGGGTGGAAAACGGGGGTCCCCAGCCTCTGGTAGAGCCAAAGCAACTGGACAGCCCCACAAGCAGTCACCCAGCCCCTTCTGACATCCACTGCTCCCTGGGGTCCTCTCCTGGGAAGGGGGAGGGGGTGAGGGCACCAAGAAGTGAAAGTGTTTTTTAGCTGGTTCCAGTGACAGTTCCTCTACTGCAGCTGGTTTGTCTGATCTGCCCTTTCCTGAGTTGGACTGAGGGATTTTAATTACTTATCTTTTAGAGCTCAGTTTCCTCTGCCAAATGCCATTCTGTGAACAGCCCACTTTCCAGTTGATAAGAAAAAGGCTCACACGCTAAATCTTTTAGTGAACACCGTTCCTTCCTGCCATCCTTGTTGTATGTCTATGCAGCATCAGACTTGTTAGTCTGTTTAGGATGGGAGCTGGGTTCTAGAAAATTTTTCGTCTGAAATTGAGGAAAATCAGTGAGTGTGCTGGATAGAAGGATCAGGAGTCCAGAGGGTTTTCTGAGATGGGCTGGAGCCTCTGGCATGGGGATGGTCACACACCTGTTGCAGACTTGGAGGGCAGAAGAAAGGCCAACAAGAGCAAGAGTGGCTGCATCTTCCTTGAAAGTCTGCCCAGGTCAGAGCTGCTGGTGGTTCTTCCTTCTAAATACTTGGTCGGGGAGAGGAAGGCAGGGGTGTGGCCCAGGAACTTACCGACCTCCTCCACCTGTGCTACTGGTTTTCTTGCATGATCTGCAAGGTGATTTGTTGAAGTTCTCTGGCTTTGGGTAGGTGACAGAAGCAGTGTCACTACACTTAAACTCCCAGTGCTGAGTCACAAAGTAAAAGCAAGAAGAAAGAGCAAGAAAAGGGAACATTTTCTGCAGTCAGCAGAGGAGCTGGAGCCTAGGAGCTCCTCAGTGACCGAATCAAGAATGTCTTTTTCTCAGCTCTTGGCTCTTTTTCCATCCTGACGAAGTCATGCATAATTATTTAGCAAGGTAACTCCAGGGAGATGAGCGTGATGTTTCCTCCACTTGAGAAGATGGTGGTCAGCTAGGGTAGACTGAGAATTAGTGGGACCAGCTGGTAAAGGCTGTAGTGGGGGTCTGCTTGGTGGTGGGAGATAGAGGCTGGACCTGCCTTAATAGCATGTAGAGCTGGACACACCCAAACCCCAATGGTAACCCCATTTGCTCTCTGGCCACCAGTCTAGGGTTGTATTTTGGAATATTTAGAATCCCCTCTTTCAGTGTAAATATTCTGTGACAAACAGAGCTTCTCTTTTCCCACGATTTTGAGCAAAGTTGCTGGGCTTCATATTCCTTGGACCAAAACAGACCATCAGCGAGTCTGTCAGAATTGAGGGGTCTGATTGGTTTATGCTTGGGTCTTGTACCACGAGGTGAGGACTTTTACCCATATCATAGTGCCTGGTAGCTGAGGAGAGGGTTCGTCTCAAGAGACACGGGTCACTGTTGCCTGGCGGTGGGGAAGTGGATGCCAATTGTCCTATAACTCCTATGCACTAAGGAGTCTGTCTGGGGTGCAGTGAACTACAGCTCTGATGCCCCTGCACCTGACAGTTATAAATATTTTCAAAGAGATTATCCCAACACTCTCACCAGTGTGACGAGAGGTGAAGAAGTCATAGAAAGGGAGGCATTATGAGTGCTAATGGCCTAACCCCAATTCTGCTGAAGGAACAGCATCCTATGAAGACATAGGAAACAGAGGAAGGCAACCTGCTTAAGCGTTAAGGATGAAGATGACTGGGTGGTGGAATTCTCAGGAATTTTAATGTTCTTATTGCTGTTTTCTGCTTCTACTGTGTTTCTCTATGAGTATTAATACTTTTCCACTCAGCGTACATTTTCCCATAGTCAGACACACTCATAGACGGCAGGCATTCAGCAGACTACTTCTTCACAGTCTACCTTCTCTAAGGTGGATGTTTTCAAAATGAGGTTACTTCTCTGAATCCTTTTTCATATAAAACAGACATTCTTGATAAATTGAAGAAATATTTGCTCAAAAAGCTGTAGACTATAGCATATTATGGTGATTGAAGTGGGAATCAACGATTTCCACTCTAGAGATGGGAGTTTATTAATTTCCTGGCAGCCTCCCCTCCCCTCCACTCTGCCCAGGGCAGTTCTGGCCTTTGCCCCTGAAAAGATGGACGGATCAATCCTGGGGACACCTGAGTCTGGGCATGCTGCCTGAAGTATTGTGCTTTTCTCCAGGCAGTAAGCTCAAGATCCTGGTGAAGCTATGTCAAAGCTTCCCATTCTTTCTTGCAAAGGAGTCAATGCCCTGGGCCACATTGTTCTACATGAGTGTGCCCCCGGAGTGCCTCTGTGCACAGAGAAAGGTGAAGTCTCAGTCTGATCCCTCTGGCTTCACCCTGCTCAGCATCCTTTTCTCCCTGGGGATCTCCTGACCCCCTCTCAGGGCCCAGGTGTTCAGAGAAGTAGTGGCTGAGTGGTCACCATTCACCTTGGCTCTGAGTTTCAGGGGGATTGGTGGATACCCTGAGATCCACCTGCACCATGAAACTGTGTCCTGGCTGTGTCCTTTCTCCAGCTCCACCCAGTCCAAGGCCCTAGTCTTGTTGTCCATGGAAAAAGGTCAAGAGATTGGCTGGAGGGAGATGCCTGGGCTAAACATCCTGGGAACAGCAAGCCTTGACCCATGAGTGGACCCAGGTCAAACATTGGTTGTTGGGTGAGAGAAGTCTTGGCAATGCCACCTGAGCCTCACTGTGTCCATGGGGCAAAGATGGGAAGATTCTTTTCTCCTTAGGCTTGCAGTGGCCTTCTTCTCCTTAGGCTTCCCGACACACAGCTGGATGGAGTTTTTGTAGTTTTTGAAGAAGTCCTTGCACTTCTGCTCATTCTGCACTTCTAGATCCAACTCCCGCAGTGTGTTTTCCTTTTTACCACTTGCCACTTGTCCCCACACTGCCACACTGCACACCTGCCCGGGCCTTACCTAGTCCTCCCTCTGTGGCAGGATGATGGTCTTCACAGCTGAGTTGAGGCGAGACTTGCTTTGCAGCTGGTCAGAAAGGTGAAAGATGGCAGCTCGCGTCCCGCCCTCCAGCCGGGCTCAGATCCACAGGTGAGGTTGCCCCCACTCCCTGCCCGAAGTCTCCCAAGCCCCCTCCTATTACACAGGCCCAGGAGAGCAGACAGGGTGGAGGAGAGGGGGGGACTGAGACCCTGAATGAGTTATCTGCTCCCTCATGAACTGTGCAATTGCACCTGAAATTCAGCAAGATGGTACATTCAGTAGCATGATGTCGTTGACCTTTGTTCTTTTTTCCTTTTTCTCCCCAAACCCCTCCCGGTACATAGTTGTATATTCTTCGTTGTGGGTCCTTCTAGTTGTGGCATGTGGGATGCTGCCTCATGGTTTGATGAGCAGTGCCGTGTCCGCGCCCAGGATTCGAACCAACAAAACACTGGGCCGCCTGCAGCGGAGCGCGTGAACTTAACTACTCAGCCCTGGGGCCAGCCCCTGTTGTTGACCTTTGAATGATCATTATAATCCTTGTGAGGGAAGGTTGTGAGCAGCGGAATTACCTGCTGGTTATGTTCCAATTTTCTGATATTGTGAACACCCAGGATCACACTTCTCTTTCTCTAAAGAAAAGCTGGATTGGGTAAATCACAGGAGCTACAACTCAGTCTCCGAAAGACAGGTTGAAGTTCCAGCCTAAGGCACACCTGCAGCTGAGTCAGATAGGGAGGAAGGGAAAAGTGGACAGTGTCACCTTTCTTGGCTGGACAGCAGTGACCCAACCTGGTTCTTCAGCAGCCTGTTTTCCATCCAGATGTCTCTCCATACAGTCCACCCCTGAGTCCCACTCTCACTGTGTCCTGGTCTCAGCAGATCAGATTGCTCCTCTGATTGGTCATTGAGCTCTGTGTGCTCAATGACTCTGCTGAGTTCCAGGTCTTGAGATGCTACCATGGAATCCCAGGAAGATAAGGACTAATCTGTGCTCCTCATCTTTCGTTGCAGTGAGCTCCTGTCGCAATGTCGTCTTGTACCAGGACTCCGCACATCCACTCCCACCATCTATGATATTGTGGGAAAGTACACATGCCACGTAGGGCAGGGACTGTGTTCTGGCCTCTCTGCCCCATCTGATCTTCCCTGAAAGAGAAAATTGCCCTGGATCTCTGTGTTCATGGCAAACATGGGCTGAGCACCACCTGGTGGCCTAAACCCATGGGATGTTCAGAGGCTGGGGTGGTTGCAGTGTCCTCTGGGACCCAACACAATGAGAGGTGGCTGCAGGATTCAGAGGGCAGCTGGCGGGCTTGCAGCATGACTTGTTTCCTGGCTTAGTTCTCAGTTTCCTCCTGTAGAGATGAGGCGCTCAGCCCTTGTTCTGGAGCAAACACACTTCATATACATGTTAAGGGGACTCTCCTAGAAGACATGCAAACTGATATCTCTTGCCTAGCCTGGTGAATTTGTCCTCCCTCAAGCTGTTCAGACCCCTGTGACCTGCTTACCTCCAGAGTGGGTTGGTCTAGATTAGAACATTTTATGCTCATGGAGCCGAATACTCTGGTTTCTTTCTTTGCCGTCTGGTCCAGGCACATAGTACACATCCCATAAATGCTTGCTGGGTACATGAATGAACAGTCCTCAAATCTACTTTGGTCAACAGCAGAGGAGGAGTGGTTTTAATGCAATCTGAACTTCATCACAGCTTTAACTTTCTAAGTCACCCAGAAGGTAGAATACAAATGATGGGAAATCAGAGGGAGATGGGGACATGGGCTAGAGGGGCCTGGGTGGCAGCCAGTCTGCACTAGGGAGGTGGGAGCAGCAGTGAGGCAACACTCTGATGGTTCTGTTGGGTTTTACATATCTGCCCTGGGAGAGCTGAGTGGCTCCAAAGAATGGAGAGAAAGTGAAAGTGACACCTAGGAAATGGAGCATTAGCTAGATCTTCTGTTCTTGATCCATACCATAGCTACTGGCATACACAACCACTGGTAGGTTTGGAGAATGGAGAATGTTATAGCTCTCATTTTCAGCTTTCCCCTTCCACTAGAATCATGTGTTATCCTAATACTAAGTCATTTTCCAGGTGAAAAGGATGTGACCCTTGGGGGGAGAAGATCCACCAGGTGTCCTTAGGAGGAGCTTTCCTTTCTGTAGTTTCTCCACACTGCATAGGCAGTGAGAGATCTGGAGATCAGCCAATTTCTGGGAATGTACTGAGGCAAGGAAGGATATAATGGCAGCCTCACTGGGACACTGTGAAAGTGTCAGTGTTGGAATAAGCCAGGCCTCTGATTCTCTACAGGGGCACTTACCTCCTTCAGCCCTGGAGGTGATGAGATTGGCCAACCAGAACAGGGCAGCAGCATCTTCTTGGAAAGGTTGATCAGGTCTGAGGTGCTCTGTGCCTTCTCCTCTCAGGCTTTTCAATCCTAGAGGTGAAAGAAGGAGTCAGCTGGTGTCCACCAATTTCCTCCCAGTTTTGTTGATTCTCAAGATAAGAGCTTTCCTTACATCTGTCTTCCCCTCACTCTGACAGGGCTGTTTGGTGAAAGTTCTGCAGGAGCCAAAATCTTTGGAGACCACATTCTCCAGGAGAAAATCCTGGACTCCTTTAGTGGAGACTGGGCTTTCTGGAGGCTTTGGGATTAGCCAGAAATGGTGTCCCTTTGCCTTAACTGAGACCCTCCAAGAGTATGAATATGACAACAGTCTGCCTTGAATTTGTAATTAGGCAACTGTACACTTCCTGAAATAACATGCATCTATCCAATCCTACTCTATAGAGCTTCATTTTTTTTTTTTAACCAAAGAATTATTCTTTCTTTGCAAATGCCAAAGTACTAGCACTGGTCTCTTGTAAAACACACTCGCCAAGAGCCCAGTCATCAATCAACTACTTGGTAGTTTCAGGCAACTTCAAACTGTTAGGCATGAGAGTGAGGAGCAGAGACTGGGGATGAAGTACAGATGGGGCATTGATGAGAATGCAAGGAAGAGAAGGTATTGACAGAATAGGAGAGCTTGAGAGGAGGGGTTTGACTGAGAAATGCACTTGAGGTCACTCTGTGATGCCAGGTTGTCCTGATAAAGCTAATGTTGTTCTCAACTTCTTGATATTTCAAAGCTTTAGAGGCCCCACTGTTAAAGTAGGTGGGGCCATGCAGATAGAGACTGAAAGAGGAGAAACAAAGCATTGCCACTCATTCTGAGTTCCCTTAGTCACTCCTGTCCCATCTGGCATGGGTATTCTGATGCCCCAGTGAAGACCCTGATGTAGGCAAAGTTTCTGCCCCCGAGGCTGCCTGTCCCTGGTGAGGAACCTGGCATGATTGCTCTCAGAGCTTTCTGCACACAGATGCTTGAAGGTTGTTTGCTTTCAGACAGAAGAAATTTTAAGTCATGATGCTACTTAGAGTAACAGCATTAAGCTTGAAAGTTTAAATTCTTTTTCTTTGTTCTTATATAATTTAATCTACATATGAGAAGACTTCTCAAGTCTTTCTCAAACTGGCATAATGCTTATGCTGCTTTGCATCTGTTGGATCAGTTATTACCCAGAAGGTGGAACATATCAAGTGTCTCCTCATTTTCCTTCTCTCTCCCAGGTGTGGCTGTAGCTTTTAGGAGATATCACTGTTCCCTTCATTTGATGGCTTAGCCCTCCTCCTCACCCTCGATTTGGAAACCCCAATCTGTTTAGCAATGTTGAAGTGACTTATTAATTAATTGCATGTTAACATGTTGGGTTAAGTACCTATTAAATAATATTTATGAAGTCTTGGAAGCATAGAAAATCAAAGATGATAGAATGTAATTTTGGCCCAAAGTTAGTGCTTATCATTTGAGTGCATCTTGTCAAGAGACCCATGAGAGTTCTCACAATTGCTGTAGCTGGTTCCTTGTACTTTGGCTGTGCAACCACATTTTTTTCTGAGAATTTTCCTCTAAGCTATTGGGACACTACCTTGGGCTGCATGTCTACTCCACAAGTGACTCAGACCCCGGGTCTCCCAGGGTACCCCCTGGATCCAGATCATATTGGCAAGCAGTTGCCCCTCTCTGCTCTCCTTCTGCCCCTCTTGGCCCCCTGTCTCATTGGACCCACACCTAGCTGATCATGACTCTGCTGCTCTGACCAAGGGCAGAAGGCACCTGTGCCTCTGCATAGCCATCGTGTCTGGAGAGAAGCTTGGCTGTTCTCCTAAGGCTCTCATTACTAAATTTGTAATTGCTTTAGAACTTTTCAGTGAGCAGAAAGAGAAAAGAAAGAGGGGAAGTGAACAGAGTGTCAGGGATGTGTGGGACATCAGATATAATATACGTGTAATTGGAGTCCCAGAAGGAGAGAAGAGAGAGAAAGGAGAAAAAAAAAAAATTGAAGAAATATGGCTAAACATTTTTCAATTTTGGTGTAAATAAACCTCAAACAAACCATAATCTTTAATGTACACCCAGAAGAAGCTCAAGAAACTCCAAGAAGGATAAAGTATCATAGAAGAATGGGCAAGATTTTCCCTGTTGCTCCCTCCCTTCTACCCTAGATCTCATGGTCTCATTTCCAGCTGAGCCCTCTCTCCAGACAGACCTCTGGCTCCTTCTCCCCACAGCTGCTGCTTCTATGTTGTGTTAGTAGGGGGAAATGCTGGTGTGCAGCTACTTTTGTCTGTGACAGGAACCAGACATTGTGCCTTTTCTACATGACTTAGAAACCTGAATGCTCAAAAGGAAACTGTAGCTCCAATGGTACCATATATGTGCAGAGGAGATCACTGCCCACTTTCTACAAGAAGTGTTTTCTACCGTTAGAGCATTGCTCCTTTTGTATTACAAGAGATTCGTTTTTACGACTGCTTTTTAAATCATGGTAAAATACATTGAACATAAAATTTAGCCGTCGACCTTTTTTTGTTTATGTGAAGAAGATTGGCCTTAAGCTAACATCTGTGCCAATCTTACTCTATTTTGTATGTGGGATGCTGCCATTGCATGGCTTGATGAGAGGTGTGTAGGTCCACGCCCAGGATTAGAACCTGTGAACTCTTGGACGCTGAAGCAGAGTGAGTGATCCTAACCTCTACACCACTGGGCCAGGCCCTATTAATCATTTTTGAGTGTACAGTTCAGTGGCATGAAATACATTCACATTCTTATGCAACTATCACCTATATCCATATCCAGAGCTTTTTCATCTTCCCAAATTGAATCTCTGAACCCAAGAAACAGGAATTCCCATTGCCCTCTCCTGTTAGTCCCAGGGAATCACCATTGTCCTTTGTGTCTGCATCAATTTCCAAGAGATTCTTAGGTAAATGCAATGGCTTTGAGCATGGTCTCATCTTCAGATTTACCTGTTTTTCAGGAATTGGACCTTACTAGGCAGTAGATAAACTAATAAGGAGAGTTATTATTTTAACTAGTAATGAACGGAGAGTTTTGAAGAGAAGTGGAAAGAGAGAGGAAGAGCTGGGCAGGGGCAAGCGATGGCACACAAGCCTGCCTGAATTCATCCTTCTGCCCGACCACCAAGATGAAGCCGAGGTTCCTCCTAACGTCTCCTGAATGTGTTCAGGTGGGAGAGAGAGACCTGGTTCTCCACAGCTTTTAGTATTTTGGAGGATAAAGAGAGAGATGAGAAGTAAATTTCCTCATCTGGACGGGGTATTAAAGACATCAGGGAAAATGGAGAGGTGCTTGAGCCTCTTGAGGGCCTTTGTTCTTATTTCCAAGGAAAGACCAGCCCAAACAAAGAATGACTGTGTACTGTTCCTCTGGTCTTTCTACAAAACTCCCTGCCCTGAGAAGTGTGAATATAAGCGACATTGCCTCCAGAAACCACATCCCTAGTGCTGATCCTCAGTGGAGCTGCTCAGTAGGGTGGAGGATGGGATCTTCCTCCACTTGTCTGGTCTCATTCACTACTTGACAGGTTAGCTTGGCATTAGGTCTGAGAAATCTCAACTTGAGGATGGGTCTGTGTGGTCCTGGTCTGGTGCTCTGAGGAGAATTCTAGAAACCAGAGGACAAGTCTCGTGGCCAGAATACAGGATATTTATGGCCTGGGATAGTCTGTGGAGGTGGACATGGTGGGCAAGGGAGCCCTTTATCAGGCCCACTAAACACTGAGATGGGGTTCCTGGTTTCGATGGACAGCATGGCGGCCTTGTGGCATGGCCCGTCTCCTTCCTTAGTTCTCAGTTTCTCCCTGTTGTGATGAGGAGCTCACCTCTGGCCTGAATCAACCATACTTCAGATACATCTCACGGGGAAATGTTCTGTCTTTAGGGTAGACAGTCCAGAAGAAATGGAAAACACTTTCTCTTGCCTTTGCTGGTTGCTTCTTTGTCCTTGACTATATCAGACCCCTGTGTCTTGTTCTCTTCCAGGATGAGGCTGGTCTCTAAGACCTGAATATTTGGACCTGATCAAGCAGAATACTCTAGTAGCTTTCTCTTCTATCCTGAGTTGGACACATACGAAATACCCATAAAGGTGTGTTTGATATAGGAGTGAATAATACACAAATTTGCTTTGGCTTGCATGTGTGTGGGAGATGTCCACATGGGTTTCTGAACTCCTACAAGGATTTAACTTCCTAAGACATTGAGATCTCAGAAAAATGAGGGCAGACAGAAAGGAAGGGTAATCAGAGTGAGATGGGGAATTTGGCAGGAAGGGTCTGAATGGGAGCCATTCACCACCTGGGCCATTGGAGTAGTGGTGATGGAATACTCTGATGGCCCAGTTATGTTCTGGATATCTGACCTGGTAGGGCTGAATGGCTCAGCAGTAGAGGGACAAGATGAAGGGGACACCTGGGAAACCCTTCACAAGCTCTCCTATTTTTGATGTAGACAATAGCTCTTGGGATAGAAAACCATTCTTAGGATTGGAGTATGGAAAGTTATATCGCTCCCTTTCAGCTATCCTTCAGCTAGATTCACGTGCAATCCTAATACTTTCTCCAAGTCCTGGTTACCAGTGAGTGGGCCATGGAATGGAGAGGCCCACCTTTGCCCCTTGGAGAAGTTTCTATTCTTTCAGTGAATTGTTGTCAACAATAGCGCTGGGGTCAGCTAATTCCTTGGTAGGACTGAGACAAGGATGGGTCACAGAGATAGCCTGGCTGGGGCTCTCTGCCAAGTGCTGAAGGTGTTGTAATAACCCCATTCTTAGGCGTTGCTGAGTCAGCGTGACCACACTCACCAGGAGGAGATACTGGCAACTCTGAAGGAATGAATAGGGCTTTGGGGGACCCTGACCTGAGTCAGAAGTGATGCTCCCCACCTTGGTTGAATTCTGGGTGTTCAAAGAGCCTGACTATCACCACACATTGCCTTGGGTGTGATTAGCATCAAGGTACTTCTGAAAATATCATCACTGGACCCAATCCTTTCCCTTTTAGTCTTTCACTATTTGAAGCCTGAGCCCTTTTTCTGTATTCATGCAAGAGTGGCCTTGGGGCCTGTCCCTTGGTCAAGTGGGTAAGCTCACAGTCTCCTCTTTGGTGGCTCAGGGCTCACTTTGGGCGTGGACCTACATGCTGCTCATCAAGCCACACTGTGGCAACATCCCACATATAAGGACTAGAAGGATCTACAACTAGGACATATGACTATGTACTGGAACTTAGGGGAGAAAAGAAAAAAGAGGAAAATTGCCAAGAGATGTTAGCTCAGGGCCCAACTTCCTCACCAAAGAGCATACTTTAAAAAACAAACAGTGCCCGGCTCTGGTCTCACCTGAAACATGTTAGCCAAGAGCCCAGTCATCCATCAGCTTCTGGGTAGTTTCAGACCAAGGCAGAAGCCTGGGTGTGCGGCTGCAGCATGGAGATGGGGGAGGGGTGGAGACGGGGTGTTAAGGAGAGTAGTAGAATGGTAAGAAGAGGCCAGGAGGGGAGCCTTAGAGAAGAGTTGATGACAAATGTGCTTGAGTTCAGTATGTGCTCCCTGCAGACCAGAAATCTACTTTAGCTCCAGGTGAGGTTGCTAAGCATGAGCTTGTCACAGTTTTACGGCTTACCAGTCTAGTCCGTAGTGACTTTAATGCACAGACTACACCTGGAGAAAGAGTGGGAGGAATTGTGTCCTTTTGCACTAGAGGTCAATGTGCAAAACACTAATTCCAGAGCTCTGCTGCTGAGGTTTCCTTAAGAGAGAAGAGTGCAGAGCAATGCAAGGTGGTGGGGCTGGCCTCTGGGATGGTCAGGAAGGAATTCTCTCCTGGAGGTGAGCACCATGATGTCTGGAAAGCTTTTCAGCAGAGCAGCTGGAGGCAGAGAGCTGCCTGGGAAGTGCTGACAGGCAGAGAAAGACATGGGAGTGGAACATGTCTGCCCTGGGTGTTTCCTGGGACTGAGTCCTGAGACTGGGCGGTGCTCTGGGGCTCTAAGTAATTGTCACAGAGAAGAAGGGCTGAATGGGGGACTCTGTGACTGCTCTCTCCCCCCCATCAAGTTTTCTTTCCTTTTGCCAGTGCAAACATTTAGTAAAGAGACTTTTCTCCTCCAGAGCATGCTAGTAAAGGAGACTTCCTCTGGGTAGATGATAGCAAATACAGAGAGTTCCTGGGCATTGTCAAAAAGGTATTGTTGATTAAAATTTTGTTGATAAATGGCTTACATTGAATATTAGGCTAATGACTTTCTGATAAGCAAAACTCATAAAATAATGTTCACATTTACCAGAGAATTTCTGTGTATAGTCACTCGGATTTGACAAAATATGTCCTCAGTGATTATTCCACGTAAGATCACAGAAACTGCAAAAGTGCAGGTGGTAAATGGCACACCGCAAAGAGTAATTTATACTTTTTTCTTTTTTATGAATAATTGGAATAATTACTTCTGAAGTCATAATGGTTTATAATTTGTGTAATTTCAGATGTGCATTATTATTTATCAGTTTCTATATTAACTGTAAGAGTAATTCACATTTTGATGTAGGTAGAAAAATCTTTCAGGTCCTTCTATATAGTTACCTTAAGAAAGTTTTTAAAGCATGATTTTAAATTAAGTGACTCCAGTAATCTTTTCTTTGAATATGGGCTAATCTATAGGCTAAAAGTCATTTTATTTTGGTGAGCATTTTGTGTCGAGTTTTGTATATCTTCAGAGCATCAAAACAAGAAGCAAACCCTCCTCACATTGAAAATGAGAGCTTTGGTCCACAGTATGTTGGGGATGATGTGGTGAAGGATTTAGGAGAATGAATCTGGGTGTGATGGACACGTGGGTTGCTTCCATCTCTGGCCATTGTGAATAGTGCTGCTGTGAACATGGTAGGTTGCTATCTATTTTTAAGCAAGCAAATCTTTTTTTGTTTTTCTTCTAGTTTTGTATTTTTTTTTTTTTACATTTAGATTTCTGATACATGTGAGAATTATTTTAGATTATGGTGTGAAGAGTGGATCCAACTTTCTCTTTTTCCCCAAATAACTACCAAGTTGTACATCACCATCTACTAGAAGTTTATTGTTTCCCAGTGATTTGGGATGCCTCCTGTACCATGTATTAAATTAGGCTTTGTATGGCATTTCAATTCTGTCCTTTGTTCTGCCTGTCCCACACACACCAATGGCACACAATTTTAGAGCATACCATCATCCCTCAGTATCCAAGGGGATGGGTTCCAGGGTACCCGTGGATATCAAACTCTACAGCTGTTCAATTCCTTGTACAAAATGACAAAGTATTTGAATGTAATCTATGTGCATCCTCTCTTCTGTATATTTCAAATATCTCTAGATTACTTACAGTACCTAATACAATGCAAATGTTATAGTTGTTAATACTGTAGTTATTGTTTAGGGAATAATGACCAAAAAAACTGTCCATGTTCAATAGGACGCTACCATCATAGGCTTTTTGATCCCCATTGGTTGAATGTGCGGTCAATATGGAATTTGGATTGTACTTGAATATCCATTAGGGGTTCTCTGGTAAGGGGTGGAGTGGGGAGCCTTTCCCCAGGGAGAGAGATGTCCTTCTATCCCTTCCAAAGACCATGGAGGGAGGGGAGATGGGGGCATGGAGGGTTTTGAGGAGGGGAGAAGCCCATACTGATCTCCAAGAAATTGAGTGGGATTGATTTGTCCTGAGGAAGAGATTCCATAATCCTGGATTTGTTCAGACTCAGTCCTGGCATATATTTGTTGTGTACTGAATCCTGTTGACTGAGCAAATGAGAAATAGGATATTTCCTCTCTAGACATGGTCATTTATTTAGGCTCTGGCAACCCCATGAAGCTGGCCTCTGCCCAGTAGAAGGCTGAGTTACAGGAGGAGTCTCAGTGGGATCCCTCTGTATGAAGTATCTCATTGTTCTCCTTATCTAGGGCAGGAAGCTAGAAACCCTGGCAAAGACTGCTGGAGGAGTCTCCATCCTATTTCCATAGGAGACGATGGCCTGGGCCTCATGGTGACACACCAGGGGGCCTTTGGCGTCCCCTTGTGGATGAGGTGAGGAAGGGACATGAAGTCAGGCCTCCCGCACTCCCGCTGCACTAAGGCACAGCCCTCAGAGAAGATATGAACAGCTGGGCTCCTTCAATGCAGGATTTGTGAGATAGGAGGTTGGTGAGGTGCAGAAGTCAAGCTTCTGGATCTTTCCATCGCTGGGCTTCAGTTCTGACTGTGGTTACTGTCTGTAGCTCAACCAAGTCATCGTACATTTCCCTTCCCCAGGATAAGGCTGCACACATGCACCTTTGTATCCAGTGCTCCTCCAATCCCCTAAAGATCAGACTCCTCAGAAAAAGCCCCCATGTCACTCAGGTCTAGGCCGCGGACTGAAGCTGTGGAGGTGTAATCTCTTCCAACTGGTCAGTACCACCCAGGCCCATCTGCTTTGGGCAGTGTTGGCAGATGCCCGGGGCCTTACCAGGAAGGTGGACTTCCTCTTCCTCTGGTGCCCCACACAAATCTGCATTTGGTGGGTGTAGAAATTGAAGCGATTGCTGCAATTCAGATCCCTCTGCCCTCTCAGCCATGCATCCTGGAGTAATTCTGTTCTACCATACCGGCCAACCAGACCCAAGCCCACCATGTTGCACTTGGTCCCAGGACTTGGCCTGGCCTGCGTCAGAGGCAGAGCGCTGGCCTCAGACTCAGTTCAGTGGCTCCATTCTCCAGCTGGCAGGAAGAATGCAGGCCCTCAGGGACTCCTGGGCAGAGCTCACCTGTTGCCCCCACCATCATCTGTAACTCTGTGCCTGCTTCATCCTCCTTGGCCCCAAGACAGGATGGAGCCTCCATGCTGGGAGAAAGCCAGCTGGGCTGGGGAACCAGAGCATCAGGTAGATGGTGCCTGAAGTAACACGATGTCATTCAGGTTGTTCTGCTGATCATATTCGTGGTGGCAGATGCTCTGAGCACAGATATGTGCTGCTGGGTGCTTTCCAGCCTCCTGATGTTCTGGGCCCCAGGATGACATTTATAGAGCTGCAAAGGAAAGGTGGCCTAGAGGTAGGTGTGAGCAGCAGCAGCTTGGTCCACCAGTGCTGTAGGGGAGGAGGATGGTGAGACAGTAGCTGAGGGAATTGAGGGGATGGGAGGGCTCTGGGGCTGAGCTGTCTGTGCCCTCCGCTCCTCAAAGCCCTGAGCTGGGGAGGGTGGGGCACACAGGGACCTTGAGTTTTACTTCCCCAGAATATATTGAGAGAGAGCTTAATTCATATTTTGGGCCCCAATGGAGCCTTGGTTTTCCCCCATCATTCTTCTTGATCACATCCTTCTTTTCTCCTCATTTACACTGGCCTGTTTCTGCCTCCAGACCTACTTGGTCTCTTTGTCACCCTTTCATTGCTACCACCCTGGTTTTCATGACCGCCTCAGGAACTCTTCATGGCCTGTCTGACTGGTTGCCCAGGAAGCTCTTTAGTTCCTCCTGTTCCCCAGCAGAGAGCTGCCATCAGCACAGTCTTCTCACTACACAAACACCCTTTAGGTGCCCGGACTTTCTCCAAAGTATGTCCTTGGCTCATTTAGTTAAAAAATTAGCTGTTCTCTCATTTCTTTCTTGAAGTTGTCCATGGAGAATGGAATTTATGTGAGTAGATAGGGATATGAATGTTTTTAGCTGTTTTTGTTTTCCATTGTAGTAAAAAATTGTAATATTAGATCAAACATGAATGTGAAAGCTTTCACCACATCCAAAGCTGGCTACATGTACTTTGGACTGTTTTATTTCTGTCAGTTGCATCTTTTTCTCTTCTCTGATGTTGGGACATTAAAGTCGTGTGTTCCCACTTCCCCCCTGGGCCCCCTAGGCTGCCAACAATGCAAATCTTCTGGGCAGGCTGATGCTGGGTCACTTACCCTTTATCCCTCTGATGCTGCTGTGGTCAGAAACCAATCTCGGTGCTCTTGGCTTCGTAGGAGAGCAGTGTACTCCTGAGCCATTCCAGACATCCTCAGGGCTGCCTTAATGTCATTCTCAGAAGGACGTTTTGGAAGTTCCTTGAGAAGTTTCTACTGATGAGCCTGTAATGATTTATGGAGTGTCAGTGCTGGGAGAAGGCTGTGCCCGCGCCATTGTCTTCCCTCCACATGTGTCTACTGGGAGTGAGAAACTTCCTTTCCAAGAATTGGCCTGTGCTGTTGTCCTTGTAGGAAGGAGCAGGTGACATAACACCTTCGGTGACGTCTGCATACAGTCTCCCCCTCAGAGTAGTCAGTGAGAAAGAGGGACCCAGACCCTGGATGTGGCAGAGAACAGTTTAAATGAACTTCAAGACCCTCAGTGTTTCTTGGCTGAAAAGGGTACTTCTGAGACTGAGCGTCTGGCCCTCGGACCCTTGGTAAACGTAGAAAGATGTGGAGGTGGACATGTTCCCTAAGACCCTCCCCACAAATCATCAGAAAGTCCGATGATCCAAGAGAGGAGAGTGGTAATAGAGCTGTGATATATTCATGGGATGGAATGCTGCCCGGCTGTTAAAAAGCATCATGCTTGGGGCATGGGGTGGTTTGTGTCATCCAGTTTTAAGTTGAAAATTAGATTGTCAAATGCTGTATACAATTTGAACTAATTTTTTTAATGTGAAAGACAAGAACCAGAACAGCCATTTTATGCGACTCTAATTTTCACCTTTATATTATCCAATTTTTTTCTATAATAGTAATATCTTAGTTTTACAGGCAGAAAAAATGTAGGGCTCATGATCCCTATAAACAGCAAAAACTATTATGTATCATGGTTGAGATGAGCTAGCAGTTTAGTGAAATAATTTCCTTTTCTTCCAGGGGACACAGGTGAACCACATTGTGCAGCCTCACTTGAACTTGCGTGTGACTGTGTGACTGTTGACACAAATGGGATGTGAGTGGAAACGATGTGGGCACCTTCCCGACCTGGACAGAAATGCAGTCCTGCCCTGACCATGTAGACTCCTCCCCTTCCAGGGTTTGACACAGGTGAACCTGGGGAACACAGATGCCGTCTTTAAGGAACTGATCCTGGTCTTGGATCATGGAGTGACCACATAATTGCTGCCCAAACAAGGACACTTGAGAGTAAGAGGGGCACCACTCACCTCGAAACTCCTTTTGGGCTGTGTGTGAGCAAGAATTAGACTTCTCTTGTTTTAGTCCCTAAAATGCTAGAGGTTATCAGTTAGAATAATTAAACTTAAATTAACTAACACATGGACCATCTTACTGAAGCCTACCTTTTTCTGAATTGTAATATTTATAAAAATAAAATTATTTTCATCGCTGCACTTTTCAAAATTGTGAATAAATTAAAACATAGAAAGAAGAAAAATGGCAGCCCTAATCTCACCGCCCAACTGACCACTGTTAAGAGATGTTTTTCCATGTAGGTGTTTTTCTATGTGTATTTTTATATAGGTGTGATCACAATATATTTAGTTTTTCTTCCTATAATTTAAATTATTCAACATAAATTTTACCTCATTTTATTAAAAATCTATTATTGAATATCATTTTATGATCTCATTCTTATTTAATAAATACACTTTAAAGTTATCTAAATAACACGGAAAAATTATGAAAATGAATATGTACGAGTAATAAAAGCCAAAAGGAAAATATAATTGTAAGCAAACATATGATTGTAGTCTGTACTGATCTTTAACTACTTTTGACTTAAACAGATGGCGTGAACATTCTTCCATGTGACAAAATGTAATTCTATCTCAAAACATTGAAGTTTCTATAGTGTTCAATGGTATGAAACTTTTCAAATCGAATCAGCAGATTGGTGCTGAACATTGGCACTATTTCAAAGATTTGACTTTTGTAACAAATCTATAAGGAATAACGGTGTCCACTTTTCTCCGTGTGGTTGATGGCTAGGTGAAAGACGCCTTTTGTCCTTTTTTTTAAGGACCTTTGTGCACATGGTATGAAAATGCCATTTTCTCAATGTCCATACTGAAGGTAAGCATCGTTGGTTTTGTAAATCCTTCCCAATTAGATAAGCAAAAATTATTATTATTTTGATTTGCATGATTTTTTAGTGAGCTTTTACTTTTTTCCAAATGTCTATTAGTTTTTTTTTTTTTTTATGACTGGCCTATTAATGTTCTTAGGCAAGTTTCCTAGAGCCATGGATAATGTAGAAATTTAAGAGCTGCAGAATTTATAAGCAGCACATAGCAGATTTTACCATTGTCTTATTTTGGAAATTAATTCCGATTCCAGTTGGGGTCTATTATTAAATTATGGTGTGATGGTCTGCTTTCTGAATAACACACAGACAGACACGTGCACACACACACACACGCTTTCAGAGCTCTAGTAGGATTAAGTCCTAGAAGACAAATCGCTGGATCAAGAGAGAGAAATAGATGTGAAATAATGTGGAAGCCGTTTTAAGGAAACAGGTGCCATCGGGAGCAGCCCAGGCTTCCTGATGCTACGGGCATTAGAAGGTCATGGTTTTCCTTCATCATGTGTGTCATTCAATATGAAGTGTTCCTGTCAGGTGTGAGGGGAAACTGACCCACCAGGCACTGTCCTTTGATGACACACATGCTTGTCCCTGGTGGCCTATTTCCCTGGCTACTCTCTCGCTGGCTCTGGCTTACACCCTGGGATTCCATGGGGCTCCTCATGGCCTACTTTCTGGGGTTTCTAATTCTGTAGTGTGATGGCTTCTCCTAAGAGTGCCCATTTCTACTGCTGTGACCCACAGTTGTCCCCTGGCTCGTGCACCTTCTACTATTCACTTGCTCATTTCCACATGTGCATTGAGCTCTTCCCTCCCCTGTGCTTCTGCCAGTGCTGTGAGCCCCAGGGGAGGCTTGGCAGATGGACGTGGGGACAGTCATGAATGAAAAGTAAGCTTTCTTTTACTTTTCGTCTTAGTTTCCAATGTGCTACACTTTGCTGGACTTTGCTTTTCACATCTGTGTGATTTATTTGTTATTCTTTTTAATGATGGTGCTTCTCTTTTCGATGTTGGTCCCAGTTGATTCGGTGTTTGTCCAGTTGTCATGAATTTGCTGTGTTCTGTCACATCCAGTTCACTGGTGGTGCTGTTTGAAGGATACAGGATCCTAAAATAACGTGTCTGGGTCATAATTGGTGACGAAAATAATCAATGACCAATCAGTAGATAAGAAAGATGGAGTGATATTTATTGAGCCAATTTGCTGTAGACTAGCCTGGAAGTGCTGTCTCCCCCAAGGAAGAAAGCTCTCCTGAGAAGCATGGTCACCTCATGGCTATAGATGATTTCACAACAAAGAACATACAGGAAGCATGACAGGAATATAATTTTTTTCCAAGTCACAAGGATCTGTTTTGCTGCAGTTTAGCACGTACGTGGCAGCTCAGCTTGACATTGGTCCTTTGGGAAGAAGATCTTACCTTGAAAGAAGTGCTGGTAATGGCGTCAGAGAAAGGGAGACATTCATCCCTGTCTTTAAAGAGTGCATTCTTTGCTTTGCGAAAAAGTTTGAGCAGATGTACAATGCGTGTTTTGTAGACCATAAGTAAGGCTACGCTGGGAGAAACAGGTATTAGGTGGAATCTCGGTTAAACCAGAATGGCTTCCCCATACACCTCAAGATGTGAAAGCTTCTTGTTATTCTTATTGTTTTCATCACAATGAAAGGGCTTGCACTTGAAGTGTGGCATTTTGTGGGGTTGTGGACTGAGGCTCATGCCTTCCACATGTAAATAAGCAAAAATATGGCTGCCCCAGTTGCCTCCTCCCTCCCTCCCTTCGAGACATGGACTCCACTGAGCTCAGACGGGGAACTTCAGGACCTGAGGGTCTCGAAGTC